TTAGCTAAGCCATTTTGCTGATGAACACCCACAGTAGTCTTGTGCCTTACAATACCAGACATACTACAATAACTGTCAAAAGCTTCATTGCAGAACCCAAGGCCATTATCTATTCTCAACCTCTTGCCAATCCTGCCAATCTAATTTCCGACCAGAGTCTTCTAACTTTTGAAATTTTAAAAAAGTTTCATCCTTAGTGTTGCACCCCAAAATTTGCTCAACTTTTTCTTACCTGGTTTATGTTTCATTGCATTATCATCTGCATAGTTATATCATTTACATATCATGGTATCATTCATATAGTAGGGGATCAAGTGTGATTCTTCTCAAAAGAAGCCTAGCAAGAGGTCTCATTCAAGATTGAGGAGTTGTCAAAGTCATCAGAAGGTGGTTTAAGTGCCTAAGGGTTTAGATGTTTGAGTGGGAATATTCTCCTAACTTGAGGATCAATTGAAGTCCATCAGATGGATGTGAAATGTTGAATGTGAGAAGAGGATGTGTATGGAGCTCATAGAATTCCTAGAGGGCCATGAGAGAGCTCAATCAAGTCATTGTGTCAAATACAAGAGCCACAGTTGAGGTGCAAGCAATTAGGGTTTCATCTGGATCAATTTTAGGTCAACTGTGCAATTGAAGAGTATCAAAGCCTACTTTTAGGTTATGGAGTTCATGAAATGATGTGATAAGACATTTTTGGTGTTGTGCCAAGATCAAATCAAGAAGAGTCAAGAGTGTGGGAAGTTGCTAAATTAGGGTTTCAGTGCAAAATTCTCTGTTTAGTGCCTAATTTCAAGATCACATAAGTCAAGATAAAAGTTTCAAATGGATCTTTGGCCAACATAAAACTTTTATAGCATCTCAATACCTTTAATTTAAGTACTAGAAGTCCTCCATTGTATTTATAGAACTCAAGTTATGACCCAGACAAGTTACAAGTCCTCAGATGCCTCTGAAATTTGTCTGTGAAAATCATATGACTTCAAAGCTATTTTTGAACTAGAAGGAGGTTTCACCTGAACTTTTGGCCAACATGAAAGTTGTCCCTCATGATCTTAGATTTCTAAATTGTACTAGAAGTCTTCCATCTGATTTGTAGAACTCAAGTTATGAGGTTTACAAGTCAGGGGTATTTTGGGAAAGTGAGATTATAGGCCATTTTCAATCATAGGTCAAAATCTCCAACTTGCACTCTTCAAATGGAGATTTGTTCAACATGGAACTTGCTCAAAACATTATTTTAAGTGCTACCAAGTGATCATTTTGGATTGGTTTGGCTTGTACACTTAAAATGGCCTAAAAAAGGGAATCTTTCAAATGGATTAAGGAGGGAAAATTGACTTTTTGAGTTAGATGACCAAAACCAAGCAAGTGAGTACATTTTCTGATTGGAAATCACATTTTAAACACTTTGGCCTTAACAGAATTTTGAGGTCAGGCCAAGTTTTGGGAGTTGCCATGTTGTTACTTCACTTGTAAGTTACATTGTCAAATCACTACACAATACAATTCAGGCTACTTTTCTATTCAATTTCGCTCCAAATGCCATGTGCAAGGTGTTAGAACCTTCTGGAACAAGCAACAAGCTTGCATCGCACGACTGGTATGAAATTTGAATGCAAAAAACCAGCAAATGTGAACCACGGATTTGGGCCTCAGATGGATTGCAAAAGCCCATGAAAAGCTTCTAATTATTGTTTAGAGTGAATTCAGAGCAAGGTTGAACCTCATTTCGTGCTGAAACCAGAAGGAGCAAGCAAATTTTTAGAGCTGCAACTTCAAATCGTGTTTTGAGATTTAGACCAATTCAAGCCAAATTGAAGGTTGCTTTTATTTCCTCTTGGATCATTGAAGCTATCTGGAGAGTTTGGAAGGAACAAACGAGCTACAAGTACCTCTGTCAACAGATCTATAGCAGGTTAGTAACTCTCAACATTCTACATGATTTAGCATGAGTTAGATAGTTTTGAACCTGTGGTTAGGATCTAGGCAAGATGTAGATCATTTTAGGCTTGATTTGGATTCAATTGGTGATGTTTGAAGATGACATAGCATATCTGTTTGGACTTGAATCTCTTGATTCATGAGGTTTTGTAGCAAGTTGTTTAGATCAGGATGATCAGTGCAACATGAGGAGGATTTCTATATACTTAATTTAGCATTTGGTGAGAGTTGATTTGGATGACATCTCTGAATATTGCTTCGTGTTTGCTTACATATTGAGAGTTAGATCATTTTGATGAGAGATTTGGAATCTACGTTGAAAAGTGAGTGGAATTGGTGTAGAGATTGTCATTTTTGGTTGCCTGAACCTGGACCCTCGCCGGAGAAGACAACCAGAGTCTTCTCCGGCCACCGTCTCTGATCTCACTCAGGCCACGTTGAATTTTGGAGAAGACGAGTCCATAGCCATTAGATCATGCTCTGACCAAAGACTTTCCACCAGATCCTAGGGTTGTGTTTTAATCTGAGGAGTGGATTTTTTAATTCAAAACGCAGGCGTTTCACTTAATGTGCTGGCAGCGTGTGGATGCTGGGATTGCTTGACTTGTCAACTCATCCAATGGCTCTTGTTTTATTCTGAGTTTCTATTTTCTTTTATTCATTTTTGTTTATTTTTAATGCTTTATTGATTCAAAAAATCATATTAAATTCATTCTTGATCAAAAAATTATTTTAAAAATATCTCCATGATCTTGAAAGAATTTGTGATTTTCTGAAATCAATAAAATGCATTTTCATGCATTTTTCAATTTAATTTGATTTTTCTTATTTTTGTTAATTCTTTCAATTTTGCATAATTGACCACCTGTTTTGTTGAATTTAGTTCTTCCAATTGATAATGAATTTGACTTTTATTTTCTAGTATGTGTTAGGGTAGATATTCATGTTCCCTTAGGATTTTTGTTAGAATTTTAGAACAACTTTAGGTTCTATTTTAGGTGTTGAGATTAGAGCCTTCCCAAACTTGTGGATTACCTTGATACCTTTCATCTTAGAAATTATTTAGGTGACTTAGAAGTTGAATTAGGCTTTAATATTTTAACCGTAGGCTGTTAAACATGTATGTTCCCATAGGAATTTAATTAGAATTTTACAACTTTGTTTCCTATTTTTGTTGAATTTTGCAAGTTGCTTGTGTTTGTGTTGTTCTCTCTTGAGTGCCTTTGCTTGTTTGGCATGGTTGGTGACTTTGGAGCTTGCTTGGCTTGGAATCCTTTTTGGGAGGTCTTCTGGACTTGGTATAGATGCTATGACTTAAAGATTGGAGCTTGGAGTTGAAGTTTACTTTTCTTTTAGGAGTTGTTTTAGGAGTTTAGGAAATTAGGGTTTTAGGAAGGGCTATTAGAGCTAGTTTTGGTTTTGTTTCATCAAACATAGAATGCATTGTGTGCTTCTATTCTATCCAATGATGTAAAGTCCTCCTAGGGAAACTCCATATCTCCTTTGGAGGGATGTGTAGTATGCCCATAGTTGAGTAGAACTTTGAGGATACCCTTCCATTTCAATATTGGTACTTGATGATTTCCTTTGGTTTTCATTAAGTTTTCAACATTGCAACCTTGATCTTGGTGATTGTTCCTCTGCTTGGAGTGTGCTTGATAAAGCTTGAAGATGAGATTGGATGAAGCTTGAAGATAGAAGTTAGCTTGAAGATGAAGTCTTGCTGTCAACTTTGTTGTCTTTCCAACTGTGCTGTTTAGAGCTTGTTGTTGCTGTCTGCTGTAGGAGTTTGTTGCTGCTGCTTGGGCTGCCTCCTCTGTATCTTTTGTTTTTCTCTGTATTGTCTGTTTTCTTGTGCTGATTACCTCTAGGTTTGAGGTGGAGCTTGTCTCCTCTTGCCTGATGTTTTCTCTCTTGCCTCACTGGTATTGTTGCATAGCATGCATTTTACTGTTTACTGTTTACTGTTTGTTTTCTTTTGCTGTTCTCCCCTAGGATCTCTGATTTCCTCTGTGCAAGAGGGAATTATGACAGACATTAGGTTTTGACCCATGCATGATAACTGTAGGTAGATTCCCTTTCAACCATAGTTTTAGGGTGTCTCTCTTTTCTCATCTCAAAATAATTCAAAAACACAATAATAAGGTTAATTGAAGTCGTGCGTTACGAGCCTTAAGCTATCTGGGAAAAGGTTGGTGGAGGGTCTCTCTCCAGTAATCTGGATGTTAGTGTGGTACCCTTTGGGTGACATACGAAGCGTTCACTCCTGGGTCATAGTTTCTAGTGCGACTGAGATTGCAAACATCCTAAAAAACATTTCTTTCAAAAAAAATTCAAACAAACATTCAAACTCTATTTTTGTCCTCTTGGACCTTTAATCAAGAAAACCCTTTTCAGAAGGAGATAAAAAACTGTCAGACAAGCTTGTGTCTTCCGTAGCCCGAACTACATTTTCTCTGATCTTTCATGCCGTATGAAAGTACGTAGGCACGAGATGCGATATCTCGGCGAGCAACCTTCCCCCATTAACCCGTAGTTAGGCGAACTACGTTGACTCTGATTTCTCGTTCCAGACGGGAATACGTAGGCATAAAGTGCGATACTTTGCCGAGTCATTTTATTTTCTTTTTAACCCAGACCTTTAGAGTAGATAGATAAACACACCCTTAGATAAAAAACAAGCGTGGATCCCGTCGAGTACGACGGACGTGAGGGGTGCTAATACCTTCCCCTTGCGTAACCGACTCCCGAATCGAGGATTTGGTTGCAATGACCATTCCTTTCCTTCTTTGTGTTAGGTTTACTCTGAGCGTTTCCTTTCCCTCTTGTGGGATAAATAACGCATGGTGGCGACTCTTCTGTCATAGCCGGCGCCGATTTTCGCAGTAGCGACAGCTGGCGACTCTGCTGGGGATAAGTCTGTGGTTCCCTATGCGAGTCAATCCTAGCGCTTGTTTTCCTGTCTGGAGTTTTATGTGTATTTATTTTTCTGTCTTTACTTTCAGTACTGTATATTATTGTTATTGTGATGTGGGTAGAGGGTTAGTTTGAGAGATAAGTCAGACCTGGGCTTGAGATTTCTCCGTATTTCCCTCGTCAAGAATCAAACCGTGGTAATAATATGCTGCAGCCTGGTAAATCATTACAACAAAACATATCAGGAGTTCGTAATAAACCAGAAAATCCATCTCTAAACGCGTGAATCGATGAGTATGGCTCGGGAGTGTAGAAAAGGGTAGAAAAGCATATACCTTAGCTTCAACATATTTCCATTTCACAAGAAGGTGATGCTTTTCGCCCCAACCATTTGCCAGTGGAAGGTTCATAATGTTATCCTGCGCCTGTAAAACCGACCGAAAAATCAATGTTATCTAAGATACAATGCAGATCCAAGAGAAACCGAGTCAAGTATCGGTACCTGTTGCCAACATTTCAGCATCTCGCACGCAAGTCTACGCTTCACTGCAAGAGTTGCTTTAGCACTATCAATTGCCATTCCAAGCTGTATATCTACACCCTAAAACATGATCATGATATTATGATAGATTCATTAGTAAAAGGGTGCCTCTGAGGTCGTGCAAGACAGACTATCGCACATGACCCAAAGCTCATACAAAAGACCATCAATACCTGTCCTAATGCCTGTAGAGAGAGTGCTCGAAGAACTCCTTCCGCTAAGTCAACCGGTAAGTTTCGCCTAAAATCAGAACCGAAGTAACGTACATGAATGGAATGAGGAAGGTTATTTAGACTAACCAAATAAAAGTGTGATAATCAATTAATTGCATACCTGAGTTCTGCAGGTAGCTGTGGAAGAACATGTTTGACCGCACAATCGAGATATCCCGAAGCTTTCAAGAAGATATCAATAGAAGTTCGTCGGTTTTCTGTTAGTAGATACTAAAAGCTTAATCTCATATAATTGGATTCGAACAAAAACGGAAGAAAAGAGAAACATAGAACATATTAACTTATACTTTTCAGTTTAAAATGAGCGTGAACACGCGCACGCGCGCATCTGTAAGCATTTACTTACCATCTGATACTTTTTGCTGATGACCATCACTAGATGATCTTGGAAGCAGCAACAAATTAGCCTTTGAGTGCAATAGCATTGCCATCAAATGCAAAACCGACAACACCTCGTACCAAGCATTCGACATGGCTGTTTCCTGCAAAGATAACCAATCCTCATCGCCATTCTTCCGTAAACTAAGCACTTTTCAAATTAAACTCAGAAACATATATGAACTTGAGAAGTCGCTTACCTCTTTTTCGTCTTCTTGGTTCATCCAAACAAATTGTACTTTGTATTGTAAATGGCTTCCTACACCATAAAAACGGTAAATGATTGGCGCGCGAGCGAGCGCATATATCATGTAATAACAAACAAACAAACAAACACGAGTTTTACCGTCTTTAACTAATCCTAGAAGAACTGGCAAGTAATCTTCAAGAGCCTGGAGAAGATCAGCCAACGTCGAACCACCTGGAAAAAAAATCACCAGACACATACACGAGACACGACACTGATACATCAATAAACTATAACGCAGATTATATATCATAAAACAATTTTACTATTGCTAGAAAAAAAAACTAACCATGTTGAGTAACGCTTTTTCTTTTTGTTCTTGTAATCGTAGGGCCTTCCTGGCTAGCCATCACAACTATCCGCGTTCTAAGAGCAGACAACCTCTCGATTATACTCTTCGACAAATAATCACCGAGTGACTGAGCAAAATCAACAGGTTTCGGAATCCTTAAACCAGGAACATAAACCGAAACCTCTCCAATACTCCCGGGTCGCCTTCTGTTTCCACCTGTATCCTTCGGAGTTGACACTAGGCATCCCATGCTGAATGCTGATACAGAAAAATCACTTACATCAAGCTATGAAAACTCATACTAATTTTGATTCATTTTATTGATTTTAAACAACATTACAAAGAAACTAAGAGATTAAGACTAAAAAAGCACTTATGACTAATTAAATGCCAAGTTGCCAACCAACAAAAAGTGGCATTAGGTTACTCACGGGAAGCATTACATTTAACATGTAATAGTACTCTCCATTCTCCACATCATTACTTTAAGTCATCATGTTTGGATAAACAACTTAATCACTTATTATATAAGTGCTTTCGTATAATCTACTTTTAACACAAAAGATAAAACAAAGCCAATATTTTCGTATAAGTTGTTTCTATAAACTATCTCAAAGAGTTTATGAAAATAAGTTGAAAATAGATTATGGACATGTCCAAAACAAACTCTTCAAAACCATTTCAGAAATACACCGATAATAATTTAAAAACATGAATAAATTAAATATAATTATAAGTGTCTGTGCTGGTATCCTGACATGAACATGCATTTTTTCAAAGGTGTCGGTGTTACATAATTTAAAGAGTAGTTTAAGTGGATTGAATAACTTTAAATGAGACAATCCAAATTCCAAAAAAGTCTTTAATATTAAACTAAAAATTAAGGAGCAAGAGGTTTATTTATCTAACAAACCTTGTCCTTTGCGCTGGTAGTTGAAGAGTCAAGTCAAAAGTTAAGGTATTATGTGCAGAGAAAATTCACAGGTAGGGACTTTTGAGTTTGAGAAAGAAAAGAAACAAAAACATCACAAGAACAGCATGAGATATGACAAGTGATGTCCGTGTCAATATGCCAACAAGACAACATCAAAAAGAGGTTATAACCAAGGTTCTAAAAAAAGCTATGTTATCGCAAAAATAACTGCGACAAAACGGTATTGCAGATATTATTACTTACTATGTCTGATATTATTACCAATACAATTATTTACCGTTTTTATAAAAAAAAATTTCAACAGCAATCAGAATCGCAACACCAGTGTTATCTTGACTGTAACAAGAGTTAAATGGTGGCTTCAAGTAAACATTCATAAAGTAGGTTGAGAGAATATATTAAAACACCAATCATTAATGTTTATTTTTCTAATTTATGAATTGTCTTACTTTATTTCAAAAATAAGAGATTTTAGAAATTTCGGATTCAACTTGGTTTTGATCAAATCCTATAAGATTTTTTTTGCTATATCATATTTTTAAATAATAATTTTGTACAAAATGAAAAATTAAAATTTATTATTAATTATTTTTAATTTTTGGAATAGTATAATAATATATTATATATATAAACAATTTATTAAAAAATTTGGAAATTTCTAAATCCTTCCTAATATAATTTTTTAATTCTCAAAATTAAAAATATATTTTATTAATAATTACAAAAATCTCTCAACATCCTTTTCACCTAGATCTTTTTTATTTTTTAGATTAATCTTTTTATATTATTTTTAAATTAAGAAAAAGATATTATCTATCTCTAAATTCTTCTGTTAGATGTTTTGGCCCAACAACAACATATTGATAAGTGTAATATATTTATGTGAATTATGACATCTTATATTAAATTGGAAAGAAATTTGAAACCATATTACTTTTGGTTTTGTAATTTTTTATTTGGTAATTTAACTTTAAAACATTATTTTTTATTTTAAGAGTTTTAAAAATAAAATAAAATAATCAAAATAAATTTTTGAAATTTTGGTTTTTGATTTCTTAGTTTTGGAAATTAAAAATAAAAAACAAAAGTAAAAAGATACCCTTTTCATTAATATTAAAATTTTAATATTATGAAACTTAAAAACAATTTTTAAAAGTAAAATTAATAAATATTTTTATTTTATTTTTTCTTCAAAACTGTTTTTATAATTAATGTATAAATTATGTTTTAAAAATTAAAAATTAAAATATAGCAAAAAGTATATAGTATTACTAAATAATCTTAAGAAAACCAAAAATAATCTCGAAATCAGATAATATATTATTTAAGTTTTCGAGATTTTTTATGAATTATTAATAATTTAAAAAATTTTAATATGATATATTAGACCATATATTTTAAAATTGTGAATTCACAAGGAAAATTGTTAATAATTATATAAACTCATAAATGCAATTGATTTGACAACAAATTTGATTTTGAGATTTTCTTCTTATATCTTTTATGCTTTTTGTAATTTCAAAAATATTTTAATTGAAATTTTAAATCCAAACATATTGATTTTAAAATATACGTTCTATTAATGGTTATATGCATAAAATAATTATATATTATTATTATCATTTGTCATGTCACAACAATAATTTAAAATTACAATCTAATTTGATAGAATGTAGGTTGATAATTGATTAATAGTGTATATATATATATATATATATATATATATATATATATATATATATATATATATATATATATATATATATATATATATATATATATATATATATATATATATATATATATATATATATATATATATATATATATATATATATATATATATATATATATATATATCCCTGGTATTCCTTTAAACAAAATTAAATATAGAAGAAAAATATTTATAAAAAGATCATCATACTCAATAAAACTAATTGAAATACATCATATTGTAAAGTTATTTTATACTAGTCATCTAATTAAAATTAATTTTTTCGACACATAGCATAAAATAAAATTCTAATTAAAATTATTTTAATTACTTTCCAATTAATCTCATTATTTTTTCACTCATTTGTAAATAGTGTACTAAAAAACACAAATAAAGAACCAACATTTCCATTAGTAGCTGTTAGCATTGTTTCTCCTACTAACATTAAATCAAGGGGGTTATTCGAAAATATTGTATAATAGGCATTTCCACATGGATATTAAAACTTCTGTTTTCTGTAATATAAGCTTTGTTATGGTTATTTATGCATATGATAAATTTAATAAATTTTAGCTGCAAAACTGATGAACTTCAAAGTGTTAAAAAAAACTGCGACAAAACGCTAGATACTGATACATTATTGTTCTGAACTGAGCCGACGCTTAACCCACAACTAAACAGGCCCAAAACCCATTGGGGTTGGGTCCAATAGGACCACGCTGATGGGCAGAAGACTCGTCGGGCACAACCTTCCCCCCTGACGAGCACAGACCAACAGCCGTCGGGCAGGACCCTCGCAGCCGACCAGCCAACCTCTTTCTTCCCCGTCGTCGGGCAGAGTCCAGCCTGCTCGGGGAGCTCCTCGAACCTCCCCCACGTTCTCTACGTGTCCCTCACGCAGGGACACGTCATAAAGTAACTATCCACGTCCTAGAGATTCGGTCTTCCTCCTCTTGGATAGTGCGGAACAGTTACCATAGGGCGAAGACCACGTGCTGGTCTTCACGACGCCACGTCAGCCCTAGCAGTTACTAACATTGGGCCTGGCAGCCCAGCCCAGTGCTAGTAATCGTTGGCCCTACGCTGGGGGCTCACTATAAATACCCATTTCACTAGAGGGTCAAGTAACTTAACTCTCTTACTCTCTCTCTCTCTCTCTCTGTACTTGCTCCCACTCTGCTCGTCACTTACTTTGACATCAGAGTGTGTTTCAGGTACACCCCCTCCTCTTCCATACCTTTAGTGAGCAGCTAGTAGATCAACGATGCGTGGTAGGTCACTGATTCCTTTCTGATCAGGTAAGACCAATTATTAATGAACTTTATATGTTGAGATTTCAATAAAAAAACTTAATCTTTTCTGTTGTGACAAACACACCACAAAGAACGAATAAAATTATGAAAAATATTAAGTTTATTGAAAAAACACAAGATTTTTTTTTTAAGTTTACGAAAGAGAGAGAAGAGGGAAGAAGAACAAGAACAGGAATTTGTTAAAACTGTTTTACTATTATTTTCACAATTAGGACAAATTGTTTAGAAGCAAATATTAACAAACCTTAACCCTCTCCCAACAACCTGAGAGAACACCTTATTTATAAACCACAATCTAACTTAAACCATAAGCTAAATTAAGCACTAAGTTAACTTAAGTAACAAGCTAACTTATAAAACTGCATACTTGAACAGACTTTGACTACAACATGCACATCGTCGACTCTAGTCGAAACATGAGTGTACTTAGCTTGAATTGAGGATTTGTCGGTGTTACAACAAGCTTTGAATTCGACATACCAAATTCGTCGAGAATCTTCTTCATGTATGTCTCTAGAGATAAGCATAATCTTAGCTGTTTCTTTATCTTATGATGTCAATCTCAAGAATCCTAGACGCAACTCCAAGATCCTTCATGTCGAACTCCTTATCAAGTTCTTCCTTCACCTTTAATATATCCTCGACATTGTTGCTTCTATGAACATGTCATCCACATAAACCAACAAAATAACAAGTGAATTTCCAAGTCAAAATCTGAAGTAAACACAGTGGTCCAACTGACTCATAATGAAACCTATGTATGTCATGAACTTGTCGAATCTCCTATTCCATTATCAAAGAAATTGTTTCAGGCCATACAAAGACCTATTCAGCTTTCACACATAATTCTCCTTGCCCTTTTCTCCATGCCCTTCAGGTTGTTTCATTAGGATTGTTTCATCTAGATCATTATATAGGAAGGTTGTCTTCACATCCATCTGTTCAAGTTCTAGGTCAAACTTTGCCACCATGGCTAACAACATTCTAATGTATTTGTGCTTTACCACAGGTGAGAACGCATCATTGAAGTCGAATCCTTCTGTTTAGTGAACCCCTAGCAACCAATCTTGCCTTAAATCTCTTCAACATCTCTCATTTGATTCCTTCCTTAACCTTTAAAATCCACTTATAATTGACTAACTTGGCACCAACAGGTTTCTCGATCAGCTCCCAAGTGTTACTATCTTGAAGAGATTTCATATCATCATCTAAGAATTTCTGCCATTCAATCTTATTTTGACTTCTCATAGCTTCCTTGTAGCATCTAAGTTCTTAATCAGAAACCTCGC